TTTTTTTTTTTTTTCAGGCTTCTTCCCAATTGCTTAAACTGGGAAATATACTGCGATGATCATTCTTCACTTTCATCTACAACAGCAGTTCAAATATGAATTATTTCATATATACTTCACGATGTTTGTTTTAATTCACACAATGTTGCTTTAAGTCATTCATTCCCGAAAATATGTTTTGCGGTTTCGATGCTAGAAAAGACAATTGACGAGACTGGCAAATGTGTACTTCTCTCGTTCCAGCTGTTATCAACGTCCACGATATTCACACAAACTAGAATAATTACATACACGATTTGTTTTCATTCATTCCATCGTAAATAAAATATTTCATCCTTTCGGAACGAAAAAGCCCTTCAAATTTGAGGCAACTTTTGTTTTGTGTGACTCTGGTGGAAAAAGGAAATATCAAGGCATCAAATATCTCTTGTAAATGTAAAATCATTGGCCTTAACATCTACGAGAGATGCTATGTAAACACTGCAATGGACATCATAATTTTCATTCAATGGGCTACTTTTATTGCTTGAACTGAATGGAACTGATCACCATTTAATAGCCTTTAACTTTTATTCTTTGGTGGTTTACCTTCGAAAACATAAGAAGGTTTTTTCCTCCTCGTGTAATTTACAGACTTACAACTTTCCCCAGTTAGGTCTCATATCAGGCGCTGGGTTAATTGAAATCGTCTAGCTTTCAATCTGTTGTTCATTTTGTCATGATTTGCATAATTCCTGAATTAGTACTTGTATGTCATTATTTCCATCTGATACAGCGAAATTTTTGCTGAGTATGAATGCCATGATAACTTGTGCAGTGTAATGCCTTTCAAATTATTTAGTATCAAAGTAAGTTACAGTGATACTCAGGACACTCAACGGAAGACGTGAAAGAAGTGTACACTTTGAAATAATATGCATGTCACAACACTAGCTGTCACATTTGGATGAGCAAGTTCAAAGTTTCAGGCTAATTGCAATGGTTTGTCATCTTGTCAACATCAAGGCACCTTATTTCGGTGGTAGCGGTACAAAGCAGTTTCTTTGAGCAGTAAAATTTTCAACTGCACTTGTTTATTTGCTGTGTTTTGATTTGAATTTTGATTTACAAATCATGCATTTGTTTTGAACTGAAGTCGTGCTTTGTTCGCCATAACAATACATCACAAAAGGAATATTGGTTATGAATAACAAAGGCTAACACGTTGGCAAAAACATGTGGCCCTAACTCTTTGGCAAAAATATGTGGGCCATTTTTTCGTGTAAGGGGTTCATTAAGAATGCACGTTCAATGTCTGTTTAGTTCTGAGCGGTACTGTAGGTTATTTGAGGAAGAATCAAAACACCCCTGACAGATGACAAGAGTTTTTTGTGTTCGATCAGCAGGCAAAAGAAAATTTAGAAGTTAGAAGAAATGAAGGAAAAGGAACGGAAACGGAAAGATTTGTATGTGTAGTTGGGCAGTAAGTTGACCTGTAAATGTTTGGTTGAGATAAATTACAGCTAGGTTGTGGTTTACCTCTGTTGCGAGTAAATTATTGGAAGAGGTTTTACCCCACAGGATCTAACTGACCTGTGAAAAAAAACCAAAGGGAAAGTCATTGACAGTAACTCTATAAAATTCTAAGCAGTGATTAAAGTGTTTATCTCCAGAAGTACATGCCAGGCCTCTAATGTTATCTGAGGTCATGCTGGCTTGACAGTGTCATAAATCTGAACATAGAGCCCCACCCATGAAGTTATCTGAGGTGGTGGCTAACACAACATGGGAATCACTTCAGACAGCTGGAGCTGCTGTTGTGTTCCTTTAGGTCTTATAAGTAGTTTGACCTTTAAATATTGTGTTGTTTGGTTGAGGCATGCCACTGTCAGCTTCATGGTTTTGCTCTGTTCTGAGGTATCGCAGGAGGTTTCACCCCACAGGTTCTAACTGACCTGTGAAAAAACTAAAACCAGAGGGTAAGTCAGTGAAAGGGGAGGTTTGTTGTACATAGTTCTTACTAACAATAAAATGATTGTTCATCATTTGGAGTACCAACCAGACCTGTGAAGTTATCTGAAGTCATGGTGGCTTGACAATGCCAGAAATTCAAATGTCGAGCCCCACCCATGAGGTCATCTGAGGTGGTGGCTAACAGAACATGGGAATCACTTCAGGAAACTGAAGCTGACTGTTGTGTTCCTTTAGGTCTTATAAGTACATGTACTTTGACCTTTAAACATTGTGTTGTTTGGTTTAGGCATGCCATTGTCAGCTTCACAGTTTTGCTCTGTTGCAAGTAATCGCAGGAGGTTTCACCCGGCAGGTTCTAAATGACCTGTGAAAAAACTTAAACCTGATGAGAAGCCAGTGAAAGGTAAGTTTAATTATTGTAATTCTAAATGTTAATATAATCCGTGTTTTTCTTTTGGAGTACCAATCAGACCTGTGAAGTTATCTGAGGTCATGGTGGTTTGACAATGCCATCAATCCAGACATAGAGCCCCACCCATGAAGTCATCTGAGGTGGTGGCTAACATAACATGGGAATCACTTCAGACAGCTGGAGCTGAATGTTGTGTTCCTTCAGGTCATGTCATTGTCAACTGCATGGTTTCTCTCTGTTACAAGTTATCGTAGGAGGTTTCACCGCACGGGTTCTAACTGACCTGTGAAAAACTAAAACCAGAGGGGAAATTTATGAAAGGTAAGTTTATCGTAATTCTGTCTATCTATAAAATAGTTGTTCATCGTTTGGAGTACCAACCAGACCTGTAAAGTTATCTGAGGTCATGGTGGCTTGACAATGCCAGAAATCCAAATGTAGAGCACCACCCATAAGGTCAGCTGAGGTGGTGGCTAACACAACATGGGAATCACTTCAGACAGCTGGAGCTGACTGTTGTGTTCCTTTAGGTCTTAAAAGTTGTTTGACTTTAAAATGTTGTGTTGTTTGGTTGAGGCATGTCATTGCTAGTTCCATGGGTTTGCTCTGTTGTGAGTAATCACAGGAGGTTTCACCCCACAGGTTCTAACTGACCTGTGAAAAAACTTAAACCAGATGAGAAGCCAGTCAAAGGTAAGTTCAATTATTTTAATTCTAAATGTTAATATAATCCCTGTTTGTTATTTGGAGTACCAACCAGGCCTGTGAAGTTTTCTTAGGTCATGCTTTGTGGCATGACATTGCTACAAATTGAAACATTGATCTGTACCCATAAAATTGATCATCCCTGAAGGTGGAGAACACAACTTGGGATCACTCCTTCAGGTTGTACAAGTTCTGTGAGCAACGTTGTATTTTCTGGTTATGGCATAGTAATACACATATAATCTGCACCTGGATTTTCCCTTGTGAGTAATCACAGGTGAACTGTAATTACTCAGAGCACAAGATATAGTAGTCAATGGAAAGGAGGATCATCATTTATTAATTATATGGAGATAGATATATATGAAATAATGTGGTAATAATTTATTTGTTATATTTATTTGGAACAGCTTCAAGACCCATTCACATACCTGGCTTGACCTTATCTTGGGCCATTTCCATAAGCTCCATTTGGAAGATATGGGCTACACTAGTCGTAATATGGTCAGTTGAAAAGGTAAATATGACCATTGCTACGGTGTGTTTCTACTAGTGTACAGCCAAATTATACTGATTGCAGACCACAGATTGTAGACTGCAGGACTGGCAGACATGAAAAGTAAAGTAAAACTATTGTAGGCTAGTATTTCTCAGCCATTGATGCAAAGTACAAGGCAATGGAGAGCATAATAGTATGCTATCCACTTTATTTTAAAGTCATTTTAAAGAGTGTTATGAACAATAGAATTATTTTTTAATATAGTTAAGTAGTAAAAGAATTTGTAATAATGGTATATTACAAATTCCCAATCATTGGTCAAAATTACTTAAAGTAAAATTTAAGGTGGCTTTAAGTCCCCTTCAAAGAATTTTTTTAAACTTTGCAAAACGTTGCATCTTTTCATGCTTAGCACAATTCCATTATATAAAATGGGGGTCATCGAGCTTGTTTTTGAGTTATAAGAGCTTAAAGCTAAGATTAAGGATGTTTTTAGCAGGTCATATTGTTGCTATGGTAACCTGTTATATGAAAAGGATGACCACAACTTGTTGAACAATGATTCGAAATTTGAAATATACCAGTATTGTTAGTAGCATCAGTTGTTAGAAAAGTGCTGGAAACTGTTGCCAGCCTCCTTAAATCTCTATATGTAAATTCCGTGAATTATTTGTCACCATTGACTGTCACAAAATCCATTATAGGACTATGGAACCAGGCCACATAATTGTTGTGCAGTTGTGTTGGATCAGTGGGTCTGTTTTAAGTGCCAAGTTTGCAGGTAGGTCAGCTTACCTTCTTAATGAATTTTAAACATCGCAATGTATCCTATTATATTCATATTGGTAGTTATTGCAATATACAGATACATGTAATGTACGTCTACTGGAATCTCTTGCTGCATCTTGCTGATGAAGCATTTGAAATGCCCTGTTAAAGACCAAAATGGCCAAAATCGATACCCTACTTATGACCAAAACGGCTGAAAAACCCTACCCGTTGGGGCCGCACATACCTATATAGCCCATATAAGGGAGTACATTACTATTTTTTTTTTCCTTTTGCTATTCGGCTTCGTCTACAGGTNCCCCCCCCCCCCCCCCCCCTCGGGCCTGACATAATCCATACGTCTTGGGTTTGCCTCTTTTGTCACATGCACAGTTTTTGCAAAACGTTAATAGTAACCTCTTACTGACCTAGCGCGAGGGCTGGGGAAGTATTGAATGCCCGAGGTCGGAGGTCGTGGCAGTTGACCGCCGAGCGCAGCGAGTTCCGTACAAAAACGACCGTGGGCAAATTCCCCAGTACGGCTCGAGCAAGCTAGGTTAGTAAGTAGGTGTTGATGCACCTAAGACCGGCTTTCGGAAACAAAAAATACACGGTCCATGTCCGTATGGCAAAATCTTGACCAAGAAAGAGGCAATCAGAATGGTTGGATTTACCTCAAGGCTATCTTGCCTTATAATGAAAAGTTGTTTTTAGCAAGTGTATAATTCGATTATAAAAAGGGTGGATGACACGGGGATCATTTTCAGTTCTTCTTAGTACTTTAGTCCAGAATGGCAATTGCGCTAGTCCATTGCGTCCCGTTGATCGCATCAGCTTGTATTGACCGAAAAGTAGCGCTTACCTTTCTATTATACGATACCCGCGAATCTAAAACGTCAACTGTGTTTACATACTCTCATCTAAACACGCCTTTAGACCAATGAGAGCGCGCGTAGTGGCTCAGTTATTTTATAATTAAGAAATAGTAAACATGTTCCGTGTTTCTATCAAGTTTTGGTATAAATCTAGTAGCGTTCTATCACGAATGCCGTTCTCTGATTGGCTACGTTACTCACTAGCTATTCTGTGATAGACAGTGAGTAGCGTAGCAGTGTGCCCTTGTTAACAAAATGACGGCCGTTTCTTGGCGTTTTCGAAGTGTCTGTGAAGAGGATTTAGATGAAGTTTTGCACGGCTAGTAGATTTATACTAAAACAATTAGATCATTCGCTCTCGATTTCTATGCGTGATAGTTGACTTGGGCTGCGCCCTCGTCAACTATCACGCGATAGAAATCTCGAGCTCATAATCTAATTGCTTATTATATAATAACTCAAGTTATTCTCGCATTTTGATTGGTTCTCGCCTATGATCTATTAGAGGACAGANGCATTTCACCATTCAAGTAAACATGTCGTCGTCACTGATGTGAGAGACAATCGCCTGAATAGTCTAGCAGGAAGAAGAAAGATAAAGCCGTTTCTGTTTTAGAAAATGACACAGAAAAAATACTCGAGCAGTCTCAGTCGGCAGTCGAGCGAGACTAAACCAAACACAAAATTAGTCTTGGTAAGCGGAGAACCATTGTTTTATCTCGAATTTAACAAACCCGATGAACAAAATGTTTATGAGATTAATTTATTTAAAACATTGAACTCTCAGTCTCAAAATAATTGTTAACACAGTGATTGTCTGGAATGAAACATCAAAACCGCTTCTTAAAATCAGTTTAAATAAACACATAACCTTGCTTTCCGATGCGAATGTTCCAGTCCGTTTCAGGGCACAGCAGCGAGCAAAGTATAGCTCACTACAGCTCACGGCCAACTGTATCGCAGCTAAAAGGTGTCTCCGACACTATTTCAAACTGATTTGAGAATCATCAACCAAACAGGACACAAATTAACAAGTTAACAACTGACACTCCATTGAATGATAAGCTCCGCAAATCGATATTTAGTATAAATCTACTGGCGTTCTATCACGAATGCCATTCTTTGATTGGCTACGCTAATCACTATCTATTCTTTTGTAGATAGTGAGTAGCATAACAGTGTGCGCTTGTTAACAAAATGACGGCCGCTTCTTTGCGTTTTCGAGGTGTCTGTGAAGAGAATTTGAAGATAGTTTTGAACGACTAGTAGATTTGTATTAAAACAATCAGATTATTGGCTGTCGATTTCTATGCCTGAAAGTTGACTCGGGCTGCACCTTCGTCAACCATCACGCGATAGAAATCGAGAGCGAATAATCTAATTATTTAATATAGGATGGAGGGGTCACCGATTCGTTTTGGAGTTTATAAGCGCTTAAAGCTAAATTAGGGGTGTTTCTATCAGGTTATAGCCTTGATACGGTGACTTGTGAAAGACTTGTCCACCAAGTTTACCATTACTGTAGCACCATCTTAAAATAAATTACTAGTATTTATCCATCGGCGAGGAAGTGCCAACTGACTTAAAACTGCGTTTCAGAAAACCTCTACTAACTGGAATTCTTTTATACTTTGATAGGATTTACAGCTTCTCATCATGATCTTCTTCAAACAACTTCGTCTGTAGTCTGTAGTCTTCTCGGGAAAGTGCCATCTCACTTGAGAATACCGTGGTTTCCAGGAAAATTAGACATTCTGAAGAAAATGGTCAATTGACTAGAAACATGTCAGTGTTGAGGTTGCTGAATTAAAGATTTTAAATCACTGAAATTTGTTGTGTCTTTGCATTATCAGCTCAATAAGAAGGGAATTCGTTATAAAAAACGAATGCATGCCACCCCTATGACTCCCGAAAAGGTAAAACTTCAGGGAAAGAGTAAAACTGGAACAATACATTGCCAACATAGCAAATCGTAATTCAGAAATGAAGGGACGAGGATAAATTTATAACTGAGAAAATGACCCGAATTGATAAAAAAAATCTCTTAGTTATTGAGATGTTGGAGTTATCGAGGAGCGCTTTCCATTCGACTAAAAATTCCGAAATTTTCGATACGGAGTCAAATGGTATGGGAATTTCCCGGGAAAATGTCCAGAAAATCGAGTAATTTTGGAATTTCCGAAAAGCGAACTATTCAACCGAAAATTCCGGGATGAAAATCAAATGGAAAGGAAATTTCCAGGAAAAATGTTCGAAAATTTGGGCATACCTCAGAAGGTTGTCCTCTTTTTCGGAAATCAGGTAAATTGGCAATTTTCTATTCAGCGCTAGTTCTTTTGGCCGCGATCACGTCAGCGTTTTGGACATCTCACGCAAGGATGACGGCGACGCGTATTCGAAAATGGATTAATACTTTACTTTAGAATCTTGCCACTTGCCTGTCAATAGATGATAGCGACAGCTAAATTGTCAAGAAAGCGTTTAATTCCAATTAAATAAAATATGCATAGGTTGACCCTGAAATGTACAAAGATTTATAACGCGTGCAAAGCCATTGTGCCACTCATTAAGCCCTCTAAACCATTAAACCCGGAAATTAACACCGGAATATTTGGTCGAATGGAAAGCGCCCGAGGGTTCTTGTTTCCAAGGGTAAAATAGCAAGAAATGTCAGAAGCAAACGCAGGGAAATCTGTTTTGGTTCGAGTTAGCGCTAGATTCGAGTTACCGGGGCTAGGGTTATTGGGTCTCAACTCTAAATACCATCCTAGTTTCAACGGGCAGGTTGCACACCTTGTGTGTATTTTTACCAGGGATGAAGAAAATTTGGATTGAATTCTCTTTAACAATTCAGTCAGAGTCCGTATGTGTAATGCGCATGCGTAGCTGCAAAAGTATGTGCCTTCATTTACCATAAAGATTGAAAATTCTTTAAGTGATTTTATTAACTGCGCTTGCGTATTTGTGAAAGTATCTTCCAGCATCTACCATATGGATAGAAAGCTCTAGTAGATAAGGAAGTAATTGAAACCTTTTGGGTGGGTGTTGAAATTCAGCCCAAAATAACGATGTGCTCTCTCTTGCATAAAAGTTTCCAGAAAATCCGGAAATGGTTGAATTTCCGAAAATCAAACCATTCAACCCAGAATTCAGGAAGATCTTGGAGAAAAAGCGAAATACTTTTTATAGAAAAAGAAATACAAAAGTCAAGTAAAGAAAAGAAAAGAAAAAGTCAAATACCGGAAAATACTGTTCAATTCGTCACTTGAAACCGGAGAATGTCGTCGATGTAATGCACCCAAAGAAACAGTGTTATTGATTCTGTATTTAAATTGCGCATGCGCTTTTGGCAAACGTGAACCACAAAGACAAGACACTTTATTACTATATAGGAAATTGCTCTCCCTGGGCGTGGTGGTGGGGGTAGCGTTACATTACATTGTACAATCATACATTGTACATTATCTTTTACTCTATACACTACCAAAAAAATTCTCTTTTTGGACAAAAAAATACCCTTTTTTGGACAGTTTAACCTTGTCCATCCCAAACCCCCTCCACCACCCTAACATTTCAATTTACTGTCTATTCTCACTAGTTCATCATCCTTGTGGGACATCTACGTTTAATAGTACGCATGCGCGTTGTTGCTTTTCCACATTAAAGACCCCTGGTTTTCGGCTCTACCTTGAAAGGAAAAAGTTCAATCCTTGAAAAAGTAAAAAATCTGGGGTAGATCCTCCACCATCCCCCTCCAACACCCCCCAGAAGAAATCAATTACTTCTATACCAAGAAGAGTTTTCTACCCAAGTGGTAGATGGCCAAAGATCCTTTCACAATACGCTTGCGCAGTAAGTGAAAAGACTATAACAAATGCCTTTTAGACTTGTCCATCCTTATGGTAGATAACGGAAGGTATCCTTTAACAGACACGCATGCGCAATAGACTTATGGAGCTGAAAAGTCCCAATAGACTTTTCTATCTTTGTGGTAGATGGCAATGGATCCTCTTCCAGATACGCATGCGGATAAGACATAAGAAAGCTGCAGTGTTTTTCGAGCAAATTGGTAGTGGTAGATGGTGGAACACGATGTCTAAAGGTATATTTTGTAACGTTTCGCTAATTACACTGGAGTATGTTCACTGTGTATGATTCGTGTTAACTGCAGAAGTATTTTAGGCGTGAATCCCTAAGGGGCTAGTAGGCTATTTAAGAATTTGTAAGTTATGCAAGAGCCACTCGAAGGCATCTCTTTCAACTTTGCTTTTCTTAGTACGTGAATGTGTAAAATTGCCGAGTACGTGAAACAAGAAAACAATGCTCCTCGACTAGTAATAACAAAGTTTTATTCATCATTACTGTAACCATAATGGAAAGCTTTCCATCAAGCTTCCCTTATTTACATTTATTTTTGTGTTCTTTTACTTAGAAAGTAAGTCAATGAGATGATTAACCGCTAGAGCTCTATTCGACTTGAATACCACTAGTCTGAGGTTACAGTCTGAATAACCGATATATTACTGATCACACGTTACACAGATGTTCTAGTTCGGCACAACAAACCACGCATAAACAAGTTCCGCTATAAACGCAGCGTATTTTGGAACTTCCAAAGTTGTCGTAAATATAATGTAAATTTTGCATAATTTTTTTTCTTATTAAATTACCAAGCGAGTTCTATGTGGTGACTCGAACAGCTCTGAATTTGCATTTCGCATCTGTGAGGTGCGAAATGTCCATGCACGAGGCGCGAGGCGATGGCCCTTTTATGGCAGAACATCTTGTTTTTTAAAATATAAACAATCATTACTTGTAGTTAAAACTGCAAAAACGAATGCCCTCGACGGTTATTAATACCTGGACATTAAGAAATAATACGAGAGTTTAAGCTAAGCAACAAGGACAGCAAACGTCTGCAACTCATAGAACAGCGTTTTTTCCACTATCACGTTATTTTAAGCCCGTCAACGGGCGTGAATTTTAATGGATTTATGAGCATTGAACAAAATAGAGCAGCTGAAAAGGGGGGCCTATGCATGCGGAAAAAGTTTGTTTTACAATAACTGTCTAATTTCTCGCGCGCTGATTGGCTCATTTTTATCATCAATAAGACTACAGACGGATAAAGCTTTCAAGTTCAACTTTCAGCTGTCAAACTGTCAACTTTTTAACCAATGAGATTTTATGGACTTTTTTAAGTAGCCAATCAAAAAGCGAGAAAAGCTATCAACAATACTTGCGTTATTTTGTATAAAATTCACTTATCTTTGTTTACGGCAAGTTTACGGCGTCTTTTCCCCTCATTTATTCCCGGCATTTGACCATTTTGGGGTCTTGTTATTGTAAACAAACAAATTGACGTCAGTTTTTTATGCGTCTGTTCTCTTATTGATGATAAATTTCGTCATAACGTTGTCAAAGTTTACTGCGGAACCACTCAACCAAGAGTATTGCCACGTGGTCTGAAATCCCCTTTTGCACTCTACCTGAGAATATCACGTATCTCTAAATCTATTCAGAATCTATCGGGGTTAAAACTATCCTCAGCTCAATAAGTAAATGGGCAGCGTTCTAAATTGAAATATTGATAATTCACCGTCGTGATTCAGGTTCTCCAGAAAAAGCAAAACTTTGTCATATCACGTTGTTATTTTGCAAAGGACGGCTAAGAAATGTACAAAGATTTCTAACGCACGTGCACAAAAAAGCCTTTGTTTTTAATGCTGTCGTTTTTGTGGTTTGCTTAAAACTCTCTTATATCTAAGAACAAACTATTGGCAACATATTCAGTTTTCCATATACTTGCAAGTGGAGATATAGCAACTACTTTGCACAAATAATCTACTCATTTCAACTTAACGCTTTTATAACGAGAAAAACAAAACATAAATTAGTTTCATGCACTTTTCAACACGAATGAAAGCCAATGGTGCTTTACGTCCTAAAATGCCAATAAAGATCATTAAAAACCAAAGACGTCCTAGGTAAAAACTGGTTAACATATACATAACACATTTGCATCCACACAGGATTGCGGACACTAGACGAAGTCACAGCAGACCTAGGGTGCACAGGAAACACAAATCTATATTATTTCAACTAAATACTTCCTGCACAAGAACCAACAACAACTGAGTAATTAGCTGAGAAGGATGGTTGCTTTGGACATTCAGCTCCACATCTACCCACCTCAATCAAGATTTGGTCATTCACTCCAACGGCCAAGGGTCACGGGTCATTAATCAATATTACCTGTGGCAATCTAAACTTTGCATGTATACTAAGTACAACACAAATGTAAGCTCTATAACTTCAACATCAAAGCTAAATATTTTAAAAGGGAGTGACAGGACAAACAAGAACATTTGAAACAATTCACTTATTTAATGTTTGTCAAAAATAGTTACATTTTTACCAGTACTGATGACATTTTGAGTTTCTCTACACTTAAACTATCTCTGACAAAAATCCCAAGTCCTCAGCAACGAACTAAAAAATTCTGGCAAGCAGTATGTGTTTCAGTTTAATCTCAGTGCAATAACTAAATAACTAAGGTAAGTAAGAAAATGAATAAAATTAAAAGGACTTTCTGAAATTCTGTGCCATTATTATTTTTGGGTTTGTTGCTTTCAATGTCGTCTCTGCCTTTTACTTTCCTCAAGGGCAAAGTGTACTGGTAACATGACTAAACATAAAATTGTGACTTGAGACAAGCCTGTTATTTCATACTTTCCACATCACATCACCTACAGTGTAATAACTTTAAGAAGAATATATTACTCTCTACCATGATATCGGAAAGGAGATGCAGTGGCCAGATGGTTAACATGCTGACTTCAAGAGGGGCTGTGAGTGGCCTGGCTTAAAGCCCTGACCCGGCTCACTTGTTTGTGTTCCAAGGTAAGACACTTTACTCTCATAGAGCAGCTTTCCACTAAGGAGTATAAATACTGTAGGTACCAGAAAATTCTAATGCTGAGGGATAACCCTGGAAGAGACTGTAGCATCTCATTTAAGGGGATGTAGAAATACTCCCAATTGCCTAATGTTACAGAAAATGGGAAAAACTCCAGCAGAAATGGATCACTTGGCATAATGCAGATTACCACACCTTATAATGTAGAAAGATAAGGTAGAATAAAGTCTGTGCCTCGGCCTTATGGCCCATCAGGATGTTGTATATCTCCAGTTTCCATGGCATGAAGTGACTAAAAGTAGTTTCACTCCCCCCTGGATGGGATGCTAGTCCATTGCAGGGTCACACATAGGACACTAACCAATAGGCCACCTCCCCTTCCTTGTTTATATTGAAAGGTAAAACTTATAATTATTCTCAATCACATACAGGAAACTTGTTTTAAGCGGACACCCTTGGGACCCTCACTAGTGTCCGCTTAATATACGGTGTTCACTCAAAACAGGTTTTAATACATTGCATGTTGTGCAATAACAGTTAATTATTAACCTTTTTGTAACACAGTGTAAGATCAAAGACTAGCTAAGACTGCTCATAGTGCAATGTCCAGTCAATCAATGCATCAGTCTGGAATAATCACTTAGCTTTAAAACGACATCGCTGAACAATCTTAAAGGAGTCTCACCTGAACTTTTAGAAGTAAAAAGCCCTTGAAGTGTCTGCTTATTGCAAGTTTTGTGCACCAAAATGGTTTACTATTGGTGTCTGCATGTGCTTAACAGAAGTGTCTGCTGAATGCAGGTTTATTTTACAGTAAACATGGGAAGAAAATTTAGCTACCCAAGCTAGTGTCCACTTAATAGAGGGTGTCCACTTAATATGGGGTCCGCTTAATACAGGTTTCACTGTAATCTTATTAAACCATTCTCAATCAAATATTTTAAAACTTATTATTTCTCAATTATTGTACAATTCAAACCTAGTTATCCTCAATTGCATAATTCATAACTTATCAATTATACTCAATTGTATAATTCAAACCTTATTATTCTCGATCAAATATTGCAATACCTGTAACACAGTTGCCAAGGGTTCCTTTAATCTTGCCAGGGAGTCCAGGCTCCCTCTGATTTCGCTTTAATGAGTGCCTCAGGATCAGCTGGCTTATTCAGCGGTGGCACTGCTCCCTTCGTGTAGTATCGCACTCTTTCTTGTAATGCCTTCACCACCTCTGGAAGCTTCTCACTGAGGTCTTCATGCTCTGTTGGGTCAGCAGTGATGTTGTACAAAGCAACATTTGCAACTCTTGTAGTGCCCTGGAAAACAAATAAATCTCTGATTAATTATAATTGTCTACCACTAAGTTAAAAGTGTTGAGCAAAAGGAGATGGGTGAGAAATCATTTTCTTGTGGTAAAGATTGGAAGATACTGGATAATCCTAAGCAGGCAAGACAGTCCAGTATCTTGCCAATTCAGAAGCCAATTACAACACAGGATTTAATTTGGTCCATCTTGACCATGTCTTAAGCAGTGTTAACCATGTAATAACAAAAGATGTCAAAGGGTTTTAATGTGTTCAAAACTGTGAAGCCACCTTCAACTAAGGTTCAACCTCTCATCACTGATACCTCAGTCTGTATATAGACATCTCATCAATACAGACACTCAACTTTCCCTGTTTCATCATCTAACCTACCAATGCCTACAATGCACACAGGGCTTCATAAATTCTTTGCCACTGGCTCCTGGGCACAGCTACTTGGTGTACCTTCTCCCAATTCTTCCATCCCAGGGCATAGCCAGCTATTTTTTCCATTTAAGCCCACATTGTAAAGCATAAGTCATACATCAAATTTTGCCAACATCCAAACAACAACAACAACAGTCAAGTAAATTTTCGTGCACAAAACTATTTCAAAGTTCTGCTTTGTTAATAACCTTTCAGCATTTTTTCATGTATAAGATTGAAAGTCATTATTTTGTTTTTCAAAATAAATCCTTGATATAGTGGTGATTCGCTATTGAGTAATAAGAAAAAGAAAATATGGCCTTTTGGCTACTAAAAGAAAAAATTATTTACAGAAATTCTTGTTGAGCCCATACTTAATAGCTTAACGGCTAGCTATGCCCCTGCCAGCTCTCATTCTTTTCCTTATGCTAAGATGTTCTTGATCTTCACTGGTGTTCATACTACCTTCTTCATTCGAGATGCTGGTCTCTGCAGCTTCCTCCAGAAAGGTGGTCAAAATTGCTGTAGTTTCTGATCAGTAACAACTTACCGTGTTGTTTTCTAAGATCAGGTTGTTAGCCTGATGCATAAGCCCTTAACAGGTGGACCAGGAGACCCCTTTGTCTGTTTTCTACCTATTGACCTTTCCAGCATGGTAACCCTCCCAGGAGCTTAGGTAAGCTTTTGCCAACTAAGCTCTCTGAGTCACAAAACCTACCACATCAAGGTGAGTCTATTTGGTATACCCTTATTGAAGATGTTTGACCACAATAATGTACTGGTCACCCATTATTGTCCTATCTACTTTAACTAAGGCTCAAAAAAGTAAATTAAAGTAAAATGGGGATAGATGTACAGTGTAGACACAACAGCTACACAACAAAACAATGTAACCTGTAGTCTCTTTCATGATACTTTACCTTGCTTTTAGTTGTGTCTTGTTCCTTGACAGGTTCCCCAGCAAGTTCTGGAGGTTTATACCAGGTTGCATTGGGTACATTCATAAGAAGCTTCATGTCACCCATTCTGAAAGCTATTCCCTCAACGAAAGTGACGCTCAACTCATCTTCTTTGGTTGTGTTCTTCAGGTCAATGTTGAGAAGTATTTCCTTTCTCGGTGAAGGCTCACCCTGGGAAATGGTGTCCCATACATCCATACCATCCAGGGGTGTTGGTGATTGATCATAATTATTCCCACCTACAGGTTTGAAAAAGTAAAATAAACTTACTAAACACAGCAATAAATTTTTAGTCTTAGTTGATGTTGTTATATGACCAACTAAAAGCCACCAACTACAGTAGTTCTGTTTGCATTGTTTGGAACTAACTGTTACATAATAAATTAAACTAGTAATAGTTATAACTAAGGCTGCTCCCACTTTCTTTTGTTTCTGTTGATAGAAAACAATTGAACATTACTGTATGAACTAAAACTTTTATTTCTTTTTTTGTAAACTATATCGCTCATAATGTTACTATAACTCAGGCATCTTATCATGAATATGATCCAAACAATCAACTAAGTACAGTGTAAACTAAACCAACACTTTCTATTTCACTCATTCTATTCCAGACAGTTTTAAAGTACAAATTTAACAGGTGATATTCTTTACATATTATCTCAGGAAGCACTTACAGCAGAGCAGTTTACCATATCTCATTTCAAAGGACACAAAAAGTATTTCCTGGATAAAAAAGGTCAAGCTTTTTGTCCTCCAAAAAAATGCTGCACAAAACATTTACATTTGGAATCCTGTAAAGTCACCCAGCTGTGACATGAGCTCCACGCCACATAATATTACTCAATACAAATAAGCAATCAGAATAAGCAAGATGTCAAAAGTAAAACTGGTGATTGAAGGGTATTTAGTCGCAACTGAACATGAGCGAAGCAACACTCAGCTCTAATTTTGAGATATACTTCAGAATTACTTACAATACCTTCCGAGTTGTTTTTCTCTCAAATCGGGCTAGATTCCCATACTACAGACAAATACTACCAAAACTATAGGCAATATACTATTACATGTACTTCTTTACACGTGGGGGTACTATGAATGCCTCCTCAGGTTTTGGCCTCTGGACCAAAACCCTGCGGGGACAATGAAAGGAACTAACCAGTCAGAACAATCCATCAATGTGACACTGAATAAAATTCTAACCAATCAGGATTTTAAGGTCTATCATATGAACATAAACAATGAGAAACACCAGTTCTCTTGATGAACATGTCAGGTTCTTAGGGCAAACATTGAGAAAAATATTGTTTGAAATTATTTCCGAAAAGAGAATTGTTATATTTGCAGGGATTTTATCCCCTCCCCTCAACCATGCTGTGCCTGAAATCTTCTTCTCATAACTGATCGATCAGTCTTTACCAAACAGAACTCTTTGGGAAATAAGACATTCAAAAACAGTAAAAAATACCAGTACCTACAAGGTTCACCAATGTTGGATACCAGTCTGTAACATGCAGGAGCTCTTTACATTTGACTCCTCTTCTACCAAGCATGTTCCCGTGAACAAAACTGACACCTCTCACCCCTCCCTCCCACAGCGTAGTCTTCTCTCCACGGAGTGGCCAGTTAAATCCACCATAGTCATGCCATCCACCATTATCTGATGTGAAAATCATTAAGGTGTTGTCCCACAGCCTTAAAAATTAGAAGCATGAGGTAGAAAATTGTCTTCATTTCAGCTGCTGCTAGGAAACATGGTTCCCACAGTTCCAACTGTCTCAACTGTATAAACTTATACTTATTCATTACTGTAAACGCCGGCAGATAAACCAAACAAATGAATGTACAAAAGCCTTCTTGTTGTTCAGTAGGTAAACATCTATTGAAAAACTAACAAGAATGGAAAAAAAAACTGGTTGAAAAATACCAGAGAAAGATCAAACATATGTCAAAGTCAGTAGACATCATGTCCATACTATTATAGAGTTAAATTTATAGGTAATGGTTTCAGTTTGAAGTATTCTCTGTTTCAATAGTAGTGAGTTTACCCAGGTTTACATTCAATAAATCAAGAAATGTACATGTAGAGCATCTTTCTCCAGACTTTCCTTCCAAAAACCTCTTTTCCAAAATTTGAGTTGCCAAACTCAGGGTACGGCTTATCTGTGAGTGCGGCTTATCCACTGGTGTGTACGGCATATAGACAAGAGTGTTTTACTGGAAAAATTTGTCCAAAGCTATGACCAGCATTGGAGTGGCACATTTTCCACATCCTCACTTGTGGGGATATAGATGATGGTGCCATTTTCCAGTGACTTTTTCATAGCTGTCTATGCAAATTAGTCAAAGTGGTGAGAAATATATTAGTCTCATAAAAAAGGTGGAAATTAAGTGGTGGCTAAAGATACGAATTATATCTTCTTGTGTTAAAAACAGTAATGTTACTTACTTGTTGTATATGCTCCATTGTAAAAAAAAAAAATACTTGTTTTTACCAAACATAAAATTTAAATCCCGGCACTGCTGTGTAATATCCTCTATTCAGTTTTGGACACTTGGATACCAAGCATATAATTTGGGGCTTTTGGGGTGTTAACTTCCAGCCTCTTTCAACCCTCTCATGTATTTTTTCTTAACTAATCCCTATTGTTCCAGGACTGTAAAGGTCTGTCATAAGAAACATGTTTGCTTACCAGTCCTGTAAAATTATAATAATAGTCATGCCTTATATGCTAAGTACATGAAGTCAGACATCAATATGAAAAAACACAGTCAATAGAGTGGAGAAAACAAAAGAATTTATTGCAAACCCCTCATACCATAATTATGATTTTGAAGAGATGTTATGAGGTTGTCACAAAGTGCTAGCAAGTTATTTAAAAATTTTAAAGTCTAGATCAACAATTTTTAAAACGTAAACAAGCGAATATTTACGTTAATACCTGACGTGTTACATTTAGGCATACATGATTGTTCCTTGCTCATAGAAGTACATGTAAGGTGAGGTAAAGTCTAGATACGAGCAAAGTGGCCAATCAGGCCGGACTTATCCCTGTTTCTGTAGCATGAAGTGACTAGGAGTATTCCTTCTCCCCTTGGATGGGATGCTAGTCCATCACAGGGTTAGCATTAACTTCACCGTTACCCATTTATACACCTGAGTGGAAAGAGGCACTGTGAGAGTAGTAATGCCCAAGAACACAACCAATGTCCCCAGCCAGGGCTCAAACCCAAACTGCTTGATTAGGAGAGGAGCGCACTAACCATGAGGCCACCACGCCTCCACCTCATGGAAGTACATACTTATGATGAATATTTTGCACATGTTTTATGCTGAGTTATAAACTGGCAAATTTGTAACTTCAGAAGTCAAAGCAAATTTTCATACCCAGCTTCCTTCATGGCCTCTGTGATGTTGCCAACAGCTTCATCCATGATATCTACCATACCAGCATATGTTCTACGAGTTTCATCCTCAATAAAACTGTATTTGTCTGTATACTTTTGGGGTGCTTGAACTGGCTCGTGGGCATTCTGGAATGCCATATACAAGAACAAGGGCTTTGATGCATTGTGCGTCTTGATGATGTCTTGAGCTCGCTACAATTAGGAAATGTAAAAGTGTGATACAGTGGTTTTTGAAAGTATGAGAACTTTAAGGTGCCAATGACTTGTCCAGTTGTTCCCTGCTAGTTAATGTCAACATTTAGTGTGCCTTGATAAAGGGTGGCCAAATAATAGGTGAGAGCTTAGTAGGGATTTTCAGCCCATTATCCCACTGGGGATTGTGGACAAAAGTGAATGTGAAGTAATAGGGGTTCAACTGCATGTCGATGGCCCCTTAGATATTTACATATAAAACCTTACACCCTTTCCTGGATCTAAATAGTAATGCCAATTAAATGCAAAACCTGAACCACAGAATTAGTGAGATTCAAAAACAATCATTGTCAATCTTAACATAATTTCACAACATTTTTTGGATTTCTGGACTTCTTTCGGCCAGAAATGTTTCCTTTAAAATACATATTTTAATACATCTACCAATAAGCTTACAAGTACATGCCATATAATTATCAGTATTCATTGAAGTATTTTCCCCATTTGCTACATTTATGAAATGAGAAAGCAAACAAAGTTATCTTGACATTAGCCTTGGTAATTAAAGCATGGGAAACTATGATATACCAGTGCTGATGTTGTTTGCAATTGGATATCAAACCAAAATTACTTAAACTAGTTTTATTTGTATGCTTTTCTCTTCGTTTAGGAGTATGGAAATAAATCTGGAACTAAAAAAGATATGTCAACCTTTTTCAAACTTATTAATAATTCATCAAAGGATATCATGACTGTGATGGTGTTTGGATAATCTGATATTAATTAGCATAGATTTTTCAACTTTATTTCTCCGTTATCTCCTTAGTTTTAGTTTCAATTGAGAATAGTATATCAGTCACTCAAGACAGAGTTTGACAACATTTCCTTCTTCGCTACTGCTGTGTCGTATTTTCAACTCTCTTCATGGTGTTTGGAAATACGGTCAAACACGGGTTTTTGTGTTTGATATATTACATAGCAGTATGCTGGATGCATGTCCCATATGAACCATTAAGGGACTTTAGATTTGAGTATGAGTACAAGATCGAGTACGAGAACGACTTTTCAATTCTAGTTTTCAGGCTTCGCATTATCACATCACATACCCATTTTATTCCATGAGCTACCCTCTCTGCCTAAAACCAGCATGAAGAACTAGGGTTCTGGAAATGTCACTGATTTGAAAATCGAAAATGATACTCATACTCAATCTTGTACTCGTAGTCCAATCTAAAGCTCCCTATTAACAAATGGCCTACATGTAGCTCAACAAGAGTCTCTCTGTAGCTCAAAGATCAAAGTCTGGCCCACCACGAGCTTATCCCAGTTTCTGTAGCATGTAGCAACTAGGAGTATTTCTACACCCCCTTGGATGGGAAGCTGGTTACCCCCAGCATTAAGTTCACCCGTACCCATTTATTAACACCCACATGGAGAGAGGCACTGTGAGAGTAAAGTGTCTTGCCCAAGAACACAACACAATGACCCCGGCCAGGGCTCAAACCTGGACCACTCGATCTGGAGATGAGTGTGCCATGAGGCAACCACACCCAAATACTTTTTTGGAGGTCACGCGTCTTAGTGGTGTTCAGAACTGTACAACAGATTTTTCTCTTTGTCCTACACTCATGACAAAACAAACCTTTTCATCTTTTAAAAAGCAAACTACACAACAATCATTTCAACCTGAAATTCATTTAAACTAGTACAACTGTAATTATAATGGATTATAATACACATCTGCGTCATTTTAAAAATATACATTGTCATTTACCTCTGCAAAGGCAAAAGTACCATATTTTCCATCCAGATCTCTTACTGGTTCCTTGTTGTCTCTGAAGTCTAATATGTCTTTCATTGTATGAGCGAAGTGATCTTCTCCATAATTGTAAAAACCATAAAATGTATCAAACCCACGATATGTAGGTGTGTATGCCCACTTGTAATAGCCCAAGTGCCATTTTCCAACTAAATGAGTTGCATAACCTTCCAAAAGAAACAAAACATTTGATTGGTAATTAAACACTTTGAAGTTCTCAAAGACAGATTGAACAAAATAGTAATAAACTCTAGAACCAATAGGCAGAGTTCACCCAAAAATTTTGAGTAGGTGAATAATTATATATGTATGCACATACCTGATTCTTTGAACTTCTGGGGTAAAATGGTAAAGTCAAGTGGCATTCCATAAGGGCTCTCTGGAAACAGTACTAAATGCTGCAAACCTACACACACATGTAAATAAAAGGGGAAACACCACTGTTTTCATTAAATAAATATAGTTTATATTAAAGGGATAGTTTTTTTGTTCGGTGCATGTCCAAACTTCGGTATGAGCATAAAGTATGAGTACTGAAAGTTTTATTATTGCACCTGATTTGTTCAGAATGATTGCAAATGTAGACAAAAAATGCTGTAGATAGGTTTCTTCAGATTTTCTGAGTTTTCTCATTGCTATTATTATTATTATTAAGATATCGGTATTATTTCAATCCACGAAATAAAGCAACTAACAACAGATTTAAGCTTAAAGTTTGCTTAAATATAGAGCCGCATAAACTTTCTTGAAATGGAGTACGTAAATGTAAATATGTAAATTGTAAATGTAAATATGTCATTTGTTTACCGACGGAGCACCAAGGAGTTAACAAGAACTTGTTCAGAAATTTCCCATGCATCCCGTGGAGTTCTAACCTGTGTGACAATGTTTTGGGAAACCCTTTTGATAAACTAAAAGGGTCGTAAATACTGAAGTCCCAAACAAATAAATGCAACCCTAACATAAGAAAAATCCACAGATCACAGTGAGCCAATTAAGGATGGTGCCTACTTTTGCTAGCGCACACACTAGTTACCCTTTACTATGCAGTCTTAAGATTTTTGTAAATGTGTTTGCTTTTCCGTATGTAAAGGCGAATTCTAAGGAAATCTGTGAAGAAATATCCTTTCCTTCTTTTGCTGATCTCAGCATTTTGTTGAGACTCAAGGCTAATTAGCTCAGAAAAAATAATGCCTGGCTACCCCCATTTTTCTTTGCAAAGATCTACTTTTTCTGCGTAGTCCTGACCTGGTGCAAAAACCTTTGTATTTAGTAGGTAAAAGGTAGGTAGAGTCTGCATGCGAGCCAAGTGGCCCATCAGGCCAGAGCTTATCCCAGTTTCTGTAGCATGAAGCGACTAGGAGTATTTCTACACCCACCTGGATGGGATGCTAGTCCATCGCAGGGTTATACCCAGCATTAAGTTCGCCAGTACCCATTTATACACCTGGGTGGAGAGAGGCACTGTGAGAGTAAAGTGTCTTGCCCAAGAACACAACACAATATCCCCGGCCAGGGCTCGAACCCAGACCGCTCGATCCGGAGACGAGCACACTAACCATGAGGCCACCACGCCTCCCGGCACGATCCTTAAATATACTTCTCCCGACTAGCTGCCAATATAAAGTGGCAATGCCATCTCAAAATCACATTTAGTAATATATAAGGACCGTCAGATCAAACCTCCAGGCCTCACTGTCAAGCTGAATTTTAATATATCGAAACTGATGTATTCAATTTAGTGGTCAGAGTTTTAGGACTGTTGCGAAGTTGGGGGGTGGGGGTGGGGGAGGGAGGTTCCCTGCTAGCAGAGGCTCTTTTCCTGGTGTTCGCTGACGGGCACCAGGAAAAGAAAAAGAGCCTCTGCTAGCAGGGAAGGAGGGAGGGAGTGCCAAATTTCAATTTGCTCACTGAATATCTATACATACCTCAATTTAGAAAATATGCTGAGGAGTTTAAAGGTGATGACCACTTTAAAACAAATTCTGTCCAACGACAAAGCACTGCCCCACAAAGGGGGCGGCACCGCTGGAAAGCTAGGCGCAAAGCGGTTTTAGAGAAGCTCAGTACGTACATGAGGCGAAACCCTACATGCATAAGCTTACATTTGTCACTCAGTACAGTGCGCCAGTAATAACCAGCAGATATAGCTTGTTTGGTGTCTAACTCACCAGTGTGGATGGGATACCTTCCAGTCATCAAAGCGCTTCTCGTAGGAGTGCAAATCGGAAGAACGTAATAGTTGTCGAGCACGACTCCTTCCGAAGCCAGCTTGTCAAGGTTTGGAGTTTGGATTTTTGAGCCGTGAAATCCAACATCACTCCAGCCAAGGTCATCAGCTACAACAAAAAGTATGTGTGGAGGTGAAGCGACTCCATTCACACTTGTAACAAGCAAAAACACAGCCATTAAACTGCAAAGAAGCGACCACATGTACACCAAGGTGGCCATGTTGCATTTGCACTTGCACATTTTAAATTGACCGCGCAGCTAAACAGCAAAGACTAGGAACCAATTAGGTTGACGCAACTTGACGGCGATAGTGGTATCGATAAATTTGCGGTCGATTCTGCCTGCTGGCTTGTGCTAATGCCTTGCAAAAGTTTTGAAAAAACGGCTAGTGATAGAAAGTCGTGACTATGATCGTGCATTATTTGTTCAAGAACTCATGACCCTCGTGACCGTCATGTAGGAACTGACATGCGACTTGCCGTCACGTACTATTTTCTCCATTTGTGCGTGACCAGCTCAAAGGTCTCAAAGGCATCTGCGATGTGAGGCTACCTCCGTGAGCTACCTAAACTTACCTACTTCCACACCCTGCTCCAGAGCTATTTTTTTCTGTCCCGACGGACTGGTCCATACATTCGATTTAGCTTGCATCTTCGGAGATGGCAAAGCTGGTCGGGCAGAAGGAAGTCAAACGGCCGAAAGGGGTGGGTGCCAAAGTAGCTAATACAGTCGAACCTCCCGCAAGCTTCCACCTAAAATGTCAAGCCTTGGTGGCTGTTTACGGGAGGAGGCCGGTTACGAGAGCTTGGATCATATTGGGTCAAACTTTTGCTTCATTAGCATATGGTAACTGCAGAGCCGGACTTACCCCATGTTTTAAAAGTTTTATTCACGAGAAACGTCAATATTGAAAAAAATCTGGTACTTCCCATTGGGAAATTACCGTCTCCTCCACTATCCAGGAATGCGATAATGTTGCAACATCTTATTATCCAATTTCTGCCTTGTTATCTGTCAAATGGTCGCTTACGTTCTAAAGGTGGTCGCGATCGCTTAAAAGCGGTGGTCGCTTACAAGAAGTTCCAAATGTAGTGATTTGACTTAAAAACTTTTGGTATTTTGGAAAACTGGTCGCCGAGGAGAGGTGGTCGCTTGCGAGAGGTGATCGCAACCGGTGGTTCAACTGTAGGTAAGTCTCGGTCTCGCAATTTAAACTAGGGTCTCGCCGTCTCGGATTTTACCATTCTTTACTCCTAAAAGTTAAAGAGAACGGTTGAGAGAGCTCTCCCGACCATCTGCGTCTGGGTCTCCGAAGATGCCCCGACGGAAGAGTTTCCTGTAGTGCTTTTTATGATGCTCTCCGTGAAAAACACTTCTCCCCTTCGGCTCCCCTACAAATGTCCAATGTTTTCCTGGACTCATTCCCCCAAGGAATTGCTGATCTCGTTCGTAGGGCGGCGGAAGTGGGGCATAGTGGGTGTGAATAAGCCTGTGTGGCCGGCGTTCAAAGGGGAGGGAGATGGGGAAACTAACCACGATGGAAATTAAAAAAGACCTGAATTTGTTCCTTCTCAAGTTTGTTAAAGGCAGTTTGAGTACTGGATTGTGAAAATGACTATTTCAGAATTCCTCTCAAGTTATTTTTAGGCAAGGTACCATGGTACGTTCTTTCGCGGACCATGTTACCATGAGCGTCGCGTGGATGTTTTCGTTGAATGTGAAAATGCTTGTTAGCCGCTTGCGCTATCCATGTGAGCAGAACCCGCGTCAATGGATCGGCTATTTCTAGACGCTTCTGGAAATTCAGAAACTGGCAGGGCTCTAAAAATTACTTGAGTGGGATTCATCATCGTCAAAGCTCCTAGCTCTCCCTTTGACTTGTCTCCTCCAATCTGCTGTCTCTCGCAACGGTGACAGCTTCATTCCAGGTGCATGGCAAAACCCATCTTCTGCCTCTCTCCCTCTACTGGGATTACCATGGGAGGGGACAAATATTCTTACCCTCCATCCTCTCTTGTCTTGCGATATTTTTTAAGGTATAAGGTGATCAGATTCCTTTGCCAAAGAAATCCGTCTCGATCTATTCATTTTATTGAAAAAAGATGATTGCTTGACTCATGAGAAAAACTGATAGGACACTAAACTCTTTTTCACGAAAACTAGTGAGCTCAGCTGTAAAGAAAAACGCTCCATTTTCTTACTGCACGAGCCACTGATATGCAGTTTAACAAATTGACGTCAGTTTTACATGCGTCTGTCCTGTTATTCATCATACATTTCATCATAACATTGTCAAAGTAGCTTTGGATCCACGAGGCGATAGCCTACTTTGACAGGGTTGTGACGAAGTTCATTGTCAATAACAGGACAGACGCATTAAAAACTGACATCAATTTGTTTTTTACGATAACAAATTGTCAAATTGTCCGCTCTCGCTCATTGACGTATCGCATAAATTATAAATTCATGTGTCTGTCCGTTTATTGACAATAAAAATTAGCCAATGAGCGCGCGAGAATTTCTGCACTTATCGTAAAAAACGATAACAAGCGCAATACTAAAGCATCACCTCAAAACTCTCACAGCCTGCACTTGTATACTGATTATGTTGCATCCTCAGAGACCCAGGGGCTGCTAGTGGGGACGATGCAATATTTTCGGCTGAGCTAGCTCGCCCGAAAATATCGCATCGTCCCCACTAGCAGCCCCTGGGTCTCCGAGGATGATTATGTTGACGATTTACAGTAAAACTTCAACATTGAAGGCCTTCCACCAGTATATTAACCGTTAACATTGTCAACCCGATGTAATTTACAATGCAGGCTACTGCTATGCAGAGCACCTATTGCAAGAGCTTTTCCGACATCGTAGGAAACGCGCAAGTGTTTTAATTTCATTATTGAAACTTAGTTCTGAAAACTCTCATTAGGATCGACACATCAATGTGTTTTACGACACGGCTAAGAAAGCTCCGGGGGCCAATAACTACAGTCAACCAGTCACAACTGCTGTGTGTATAACTGCGATGATCAATCACGTCTTCATATCTTTCTCCGCAGTTCAAATATATGATCTTTCATATATTCACTTGTATTCTTCACCATCCACTGGTATATTACGAACTCACAACATGACCAGCTCCCAGTTGGCTTGATAGCTTAGTTGGTAGAGCACTCCACTGATATCGCGGAGGTCATGGGTTCAAATCCCGTTCAGGCTTGAATTTTTTTCAGGCTTTAATTTCACAGCTGCTTAAGCTGCGATGGTCAATCATATACTCAGATTTCGATTGCTCTATTGTTGGCCCAAATTTTGTGTTGGGCCGGGCACCGTTCCTGGCTTTTCTTTTAATAGCTTTAACTTTTCTATAAGAAATAACGACCATTAACTTCAACGTGAAACTGTCTTTTTCTTCAAAATCTATTTTCTTTCTTTTTTTCAAAAGCTAGCAGACGAGAGTAAAGACCAGTAAAAGCAATATGATCGGTTTTCAATCAGAATTGCGGGCTTGAAGTTTACGGTGTGTGTGTGAACTGGCTGTTAGAGAAACAACTCCTGGGCCAAACTGGTTGGTTTATACCTCCATCTCTATATAGAAGTATACTATAAACAAGTCAGACAGCAACACAAAAAATGCATTTAAATTAGAGTTATACATGTGTAATCAGATAGACCATAGTAGAAGGCTTATGTTCTACTGTCGTGTCCACAGGTATTCAAGGCTGCAATCATTTTATGTTCCAATAGACTAATTATATTCTTATCTACGAATACCACAGGACGTTTTCCCACAGGCTACAAGTTAGAAATGGCACTTGCCATTCGATATTTTGTACTGTATCAGCTGTCTTTTGACTTGTTTCATTTTTAGCCACATTACAAGAGGTGCATGTCTCGTCCCCATTTCACCAAGTTACTTTATAATGTAACAAGAATAAACACTGACTGACATGACCAAAAAGGGTGACAAACTAGGATTATTTTCAATCATATAATCTAAAACTATTTCTTTGTCACGTAATGAAAACTAATAATTGTTCTTTATCACAAGTATAGAGCAGTTTTCACTTGAGTATCAAGAGTAATTTATGTATGCTTTGGTTTTGCATTAACACATCAAGCAATCAGCCTAAAGAATGTCCAACACTTCATCAACCAATTAGAAGTAAAAGAAAATCCAATTGTGCCTCCCTTGCACATTTTCATGCTTTATACAGGCATGAATTGTGTTTCCTTCAAGTCTTGGTTGGTTCACTAGATTATGACTCCTTTTTCAGCGATTAGTTTGGTTTTGGTTGAAAGCTTCTCAGTTGAAAATTGCTCTATTCTTATGCCCAAAACAAGGTCTAGGTACAAATAAAAATATATCCTTGCCAAAGGTCCTTCAATCTTGCCAGGGAGTCCAGACACCTTCCAATTTTGCTTTAATAAATGCCCTGGGGTCAAGTGCCCTGTTCAGTGGCGGCACTGCTCCCTTCATGTAGTACTCCACTCTTTCTTGTAATGCCTTGACCACCTCTGGAAGCTTCTCGCTGAGGTCTTCATGTTCCGTTGGGTCAGCAGTGATGTTGTACAAAGCAACATTTGGAACACTTGTAGTGCCCTGTAAACAAACGTGTCCCATAAATTATTGCCCCGCTCTAAGATTGTTGAGTGTAAGGAGGTGACTAAAAGATCGATCATGGTCGGGCGCAGATCCAGGACTTTTCAAGGGGAGGTGGCGGGTACATTGGGGTTGAAGAATCAATGGGGCATGCCCACTAAAATGTTGCAATTTGAGAATAACCAAATTGGAAACCGTTACAACAGAGATACTAGCAATGGCCTTAAGTGGAAATTAGAATGAGGTACCTGTAGAGAGTGATTACTTTCAATTCTACCAAAAAATTCACAATCTGTTCTTTTTATATTATTATTTTGGGCTTCTCCAGAAAGGGGGTCGCTGGGCTTCTCCAAAAAGGGGGTGGCTTGTGCCCCAATCCTCTCCCACTAAATCTGCCCGTGATGATCTTATTGATGTAATTTCAAACAGCCAACTTAGTCTGTGGATAAGGTCATGGGGGTTATTTCAAAGTACTTAAACTAACAAAATGAGATATTATGTTGTAATCACCACGGAGAACCATAGGAAGATTGATGGACACATTCATTGACATCATAGAGGCTTACTGCCTAACATAAACAAACCTAAATCATTTTCAAATTTTAGTCAAACCCTTTCCTTGTGAACAGCTTGCTATTACTACAGACCCCTCTAGGACATGCACATGCAATCAGCTCTCTCTTATTGATGGCATTTGAAAATCTACCTGCACCTGAAGGTGCTTCAAAACAGTTTCCAGCATTTTTCAACAATTCTTCCTTCATGAAGCAATACTACCACTCTGTTTCAGTTGATGCCATATTCGCATCAACTTAAGTCCCAAATATCGTTTATAAACAACTTATGGTCACTTACTTGATGCAACCGATTACCATAGCAATGAAGTACAAATTATATGAAGACATGATTGATCATCGTAGTTATACACACAACTTAAGCAGCTGTGAAATTAAAGCCTGAAAAAAATTCAAGCCTGAACGGGATTTGAACCCATGACCTCTGTGATATTGGTGCAGTGCTCTACCAACTGAGCTATCAAGCCAACTGGGAGCTAGTCACTTTGTGAGTGTTTAAAACACAGTTATGTTTAAAACACCCTTAATTCTATTAAGGAAGTTTAAAGTAGACGTACTGCACGATGAGATAACTACACAGATAGCTACACAGTCGGCAGAACAGTCCTTTATACAGATCTATACATTGTACTTTACCTTAGCTGTAGTTACATCTTGTTCTTTGACAGGTTCCCCTCCAAGTTCTGGAGGTTTATACCAAGTTACATTCGGTACATTCATAAGAAGCTTCATGTCACCCATTCTCAAAGCAATTCCTTCATAGATGGTGGTGCCCAACCCATCTTCTTTGGTTGCATTGTTTAAGTCAATATTGAGAAGTATTTCCTTCCTAGGCGAGGGCTCACCGTGAGAAATGGTGTTCCATACATCCATACCATCCAGGGGTATTGGTGAATGATCATAAGTCCCACCTGTGTGGAAAGAAAATCCACTTCATTTCAAGCAGAAAAAAATATGTTATTATTGGTTTAAGTTGTCTACCTGTAGTGAAACAGCTTAACTAACATACAGGTACCATAGAAATGTCCTCAATGACCAAACTAAAAGTTAAAAAATAGCCTTGTTCTATACTATTTGTGGAACTTACTGTTTCTTAAGCCCAAACTTGTATTCAGTTTTCTTAAAAACTGTACAGTTTGCCAATTCTACACCAAATATAGCTTTCAAGGTAAACACAAGACATATTCAAAAACAGTAAAACATAACAGTACCTACAAGGTTCACCAAAGTTGGATACCAGTCTGTAACATGCAGGAGCTCTTTACATTTGACTCCTCTTCTACCAAGCATGTTCCCGTGAACAAAACTGACGCCTCTCACCCCTCCCTCCCACAATGTAGTCTTCTCTCCACGGAGAGGCCAATTAAATCCACCATAGTTATGCCATCCACCATTATCGGCTGTGAAAACCATTAAGGTGTTGTCCCACAGCCTGAAATATCAAATTATCTTTGAGTAATGATACCAAAGGAAGTCAAACAGAACATTAACCTCTTATGGATTCATGGTCCCCACTGTTACCTACAGATTAAAAGTTAGCATATTTTTGGATGTTTACGTCATAGATATCTGGTATTTTTGGACTTGTGGTATTTTTGGACTTTTTGGACTTGAAAAGATAAAATTAAAGACAGTGTCTTGTAAAGTGGACTTCTGGGGCATAAACTTGCACCTTCACTCACACCTTTCCACGTATGTTCTTCCTCAAGGAATGCTTTTTATTCCAGGACAGGTCTGTCACATGATAAATTTTAAACTTATTGCATGTTAGGCTACATATATGGATACATATACTGGGCATGTGAAGCCGGGCATAAAGCAAAATCAACTTCAAAGAAACTTTGAACTCCTTGATACCATTAAGATTTAGGAGAGATGTTATGAAGTTGCCAGAAAATACAAGTAAGTGTTTTAATGATGATAATGCAGAGCCCTGTTGATAATCCACTGATAATAAAATGTTACACGTACATGCAGACAGGCATACATAATATTGTTATTGCTCTTTGCTCATTGTATACATGTGCTTTATAAAAGATAAAATTCAAGCCAACAGTGTCTTGTAAACTGAAGGTGTAATATTGTAACTCTGAAATGAATACCAAATTTGAAACCATACCCAGCTTCCTTCATGGCCTCTGTGATGTTGCCGACAGCTTCATCCATGATATCTACCATACCAGCATATGTTCTACGAGTTTCATCCTCAATAAAACTGTATTTGTCTGTATACTTTTGGGGCGCTTGGACTGGCGCATGAACATTTTGGAATGCCATATACAAGAACAAGGGTTTTGATGCATTATGTGTCTTGATGATGTCTTGAGCTCGCTACAATTAGGAAAATATAAAGGTGTGATACAGACATTTTTGGAAGTATCCTAAGATGGATGAAAATTGCTCCAAACCCTAATTACCCCAAAGTTCTACACATTTAAAGCACCAAACATGTCATTTAAAACCCTACACCTGAACTTCAGAACAGATGAAATTCATAATAATATTGTTGATCTCTACTGTGAAATATTTTATAAAATGTGGACTTCTGGGTTTTGGTCTCTAAACACCAACCTGAATACTACATAGCATATCTTTATCAGTATGTTAAGCTTGGAACTTTTTTTTCCTTATTGTTATGAAGAAAACAAACAATTCACCTCCTTGGCATAACATGGGAATATGCTCTCTATCCTTCCACCACTTTAAGACCATTTAAAGTTGAACTAAAACTTCCACTAATCAAGCTCACTCACTGGTTAAATATGACAGGATCTCAGAAAACCTGGGTAACAGCATATGAAATTGCAATGTGCAAGTCCTGGGGTACAAGTACTATGTTGTATGTAGAGTATATTGTATGTACAGTACTTCAGACTAGTTTGATTAATTTTGTACTTCTCTTTGTTTGAGGATTATGAGAGATGCTTATCAAAGTACCAGGAGTTAAAAATCATTTTGACCTGAAATTCTTTTTAAACTATAGCAACTATAAATGTATTATGGATCATTACAAATACAGTCATGTCTTAAGGCAAGTTCAAAATACATGTACCTCTGCAAAAGCAAATGTGCCAAATTTTCCATCAAGATCTTTTACTGGTTCTTTATTGTCTCGGAAGTCTGTTATATTATAGACTTCATGAGTGTAGTGATCTTCTGCTCCATTGTAATAGCCATAAAATGAATCAAACCCACGATATGTAGGAGTGTAGTCCCACTTGTTATAGCCCAAGTGCCATTTACCAACCATATGAGTTGCATAACCTTCCATAGGAAACAAACACATTTGAAGCTTATGCAAGGAACCATCGCAAAGACAAAACAGAATAACCATTGCGTAGGCATCCACGGTTGAGTGTTGATCGATACCTCCCACCAATACTCCATCAACACTCCATCGACACCTTGGTTCGCATGCAATCAACACTCCATCAACAACTTGGTCGACAGTCGGTTGAGAGTCACCTAACTTTTGATTAATTAATATAAGTCAGCCGCCACACTTGGCTGACTATTGACTGACTGCTGATCAAGTGTCGATGGAGTGTCAACTGAATATCGATCGGTATGTCCCTCGAGTATTGATGAAGATGTCAATCGAGGGTATCAATTGAGAGTATCAAAATTATTGAGAGTATCATTCCACACCCGACTGCAGATGCCTTTAGTACACATGATGTGTAAAGTGTAATTTAGACTGTACACAGCTGTTGGTCAGCAGATTCTCTTTTTTGATGCCAGGCAGCCATATGATTTTTCAGGAGGCCCTGAGAATTTACAGTAATCCTGTTGAAGTCAAGTCATTCCACTTGTGTTGCTTCTCATTCATGGTGCATTCAAAGGCTTGTAAGTTAGTAATAAAGTGTTAAAGCCATCATTAGTTGAATGTAAAGTTTGTCATGTTCTAGACAAAATTTGTCATGGATCCAACTTAAGAAGATGAAAATTATATTTTTTTATTGAACTGAGATAAACTAATAATAGCATTGTAACTGATTAACAAATTAATGGCTGATTAATAGCTTCTCAATCATATAACCCCTATCAAGCTTTTAAAAACATGGCCCAATCACTTCTAATAGATGTAGGCATGGAGCCACACTGGTTTCCACCCCCTAGGGGAACTCCAATATAAAAAGAATGGAGGTGCTCGTCAGAAATTATGAAAGAACCCCTAATAGGGAGAGGTAACAATTCTAAAACAGCACATTATCTCCTGTTATATTGTATTTCAACTCTATACCCTAAAAGGTACCACAATCAATCAATCAACCAACTAACCAACAAAAGCTCCTGCTGTGGACCTTTTGAGGCTAAACACCCTAGGAGGTTCCAAAGCCACCTTTATAACCCCTAAAAGGTACGCCAAGCACCCCAGTATTTTTTATATGAGAGTTCCCCCAGGTTTCCACCATCCTTGAGAAATCAGTCAGATTGAATCAGAAACCAGGCTAAGAAAGAGGACTTTTGGGAGTAAAAATCCAAAACATACACACGGGAGCATGCCTCCTGGCCGTGGAAGCATAGTGGCCTCATGGTTAGTGTAGTCTACTCCGAACTGAGCAGTCTGGGTTCAAGCCCTGGCCAGGGACATTGTGTTGTGTTCTTGGGCAAGATACTTTACTCTCACACGGCCTCTCTCCACTCAGGTGTATAAATGGGTACTGGAGAAGTTAATGGTAGTGGGTAGCCCTGTAATGGGCCAGCATCCCATCCAGGGGAGAGTAGAAATACCCCTAGTTGCTTTATGCTACAGAAAATGGGATAAGCTCCGGCCTGATGGGCCACCTGGCCCATATACAGTCTTAACCTTTACCTATGCCTCCATAGTCCTCTGGAAGCTTGCACACTCAAATGCTTGAAAATTGGTCACCACTTCAATCCTTGATCCATGCCTGAGATGGCTGTAATAATATTACATGTATCATCAATTAACTCTTGTTTATATACGTACATACCTGATTCTTTGAGCTTCTGGGGTAAAATGGTAAAGTCAAGTGGCATTCCATAAGGACTTGCTGGAAACAGTACTAAATGCTGCAAACCTAAATGAACAGGAACAGGAAAGGAGAAAAGTGTTGTTACATCAATGACTGTGATTTTTAACAGCGCTAAATTTGTTGATCATGCAGGAAGAATCCACCTACATCTTGTAGGTGAATATATCATTGCTTTGTCACCCAAACTGCACATATCCAATTATTGATATAAGATATATCAATGAGGGAACTCACTAGATCTATACATTTTTTTGTCATGTTGACAAGTTAGGAAAAATAACATTAACTTATCAACGAGTAACTTCCAGCTGAACGTTGCAGTGCAGTGCAGTTACAAGAGAAAGGTGATCTTGAAGGAAGTCAAGGGTAAGGGCTAAAGGCTTGCGGGAATAAAGAAACCACAGGAAGAAAAAGTGCAAGGAGTCTGGACACAATAAGCAGGAGTAAAGGAGAGAAGAGAAGGGCCATGGGATGGAAAAAAGGGTAATGAAAGAACAGTATGCAATGAAATCCTCATTTATTCTTATAGCAAATAGTATACACTTAATTACTGGTCCCAAGGGATTAACATCTAAATTTGAGGGAAACAAATTAACTGTTTCCCAAGGGACCAGTAATTATGTGTTTTGTTATAAAGGTGAAGTTTAGTGCAAAGAAATAAGGCAAGAAGAATTACCCTCAAGTCAAAGCAACCTCTGATTGGTGGGAAAGCATGCGACAATTGCCAAATTGTTGCCCACCCAATGACACTTAGATTCAGCCATTATTACATGACCATAAATCAACCAATAAGAGCACAGGGTAGATGCAACTAAGCTTCAGCTATATGACAAAACTGATCTATTATCAAATGAGTGTATAATTTTATTCAATACCTTAGGATTTCACCATTCTCTTTAAAGACAATAGAAGGCACGCACAATTGAACGTTCCGCATGTACAATAAAATCAATCTTGACCCCAGAGCTCTTCTCTTTTGCGCATGACAATCAAGAACAGTGGTGGATCCAGACCTTGAGCTACGGGACCTAAGGGGAGGGCCCAGTTTTGTTTTGCTTGCCCTGCCAGCTTTTCTTCCTTCTGTGATTTCTTCTTTTTTTNGGGGGGGGGGCAGGACCCTCCCCTAGATCCGCCACTGAAGAAAGTAAAGGGTCTGGAGTCGAGAATGCGATAAAATATAATGTATTGGAGATATATGAAATTTTTCCGGTGAGTTGTTTGATCAGCTCAAATCAAATATCAGAGAAACATTATCGACGGCGAACTGCCCCCTAGGGACCGGGGGCGGAGCCGCTCTCGTTTACAGCATGCTGTAGCATGCTGCAGTTCTGGAGGTATATCGGCTTCTACTTCTTTTAGTCTATATCAACTCACCAGTGTGGATGGGATACCTTCCAGTCATCAAAGCGCTTCTTGTAGGAGTACAAATCGGAAGAACGTAATAGTTGTCGAGCACGACTCCTTCCGAAGCCAGCTTGTCAATGTTTGGAGTTTGGATTTTTGAGCCGTGAAATCCAACATCACTCCAGCCAAGATCATCAGCAACAACAAAAAGTATGTGTGGAGGTGAAGCGGCTCCATTCACGACAGGCAGAAGCACAGCCATTAAACTGCTAAGACGTAACAGCGCACAAAAACCCATAGGCGCCATGTTGAATTTGCAAAATTTTAAATTGAGCGCGCAGCAAAATAATAGCGAGGCCTAGGAACGATTTTGCCGGTGGCAGTGGCTCGATTAGGACCGATTACTGGCAGTCGAAAAGAAGCTCAGGGTGCTAACGCTTCGCAATTCTGTACTGCAGAAGCTGCTTGCAAACTGCTTGTAAAGTGAACTACTGACCTAATATAAATAACAAGGAGTCCCATGACTATGATGTATGATGGTGCATTCTCTACGATACCTTATTTGGCCATAAGGTCGTCACTCTCTTTCACAAACTGCGATTGAACCCTCCTACGCATCCTACGCAGACTTTCTTTGGGTTTGTCACGCAATCCTTAATTCGCGCGGCAGGCTCCGATCACAGGCGCATACCTGCTCGAGACTAGTACCATGTGACCATTTTCAGCCGTGGTCTGGATTCTTAATGAACGATTCAAATAGCGAGTCGCACGGGTTTCAAATCGCTGAGGCTTGCTTTAGTACCCACGTTCTCGGGTTATAGATTTTCTTACGAAGGGCTTTCAAGGTCACATAGTCGCATACCGTGATTGGCTCAGAACGAGTGGAGGTGAAGCGGCTCCATTCACGACAGGCAGAAGCACAGCCATTAAACTGCTAAGACGTAACAGCGCACAAAAACCCATAGGCGCCATGTTGAATTTGCAAAATTTTAAATTGAGCGCGCAGCAAAATAATAGCGAGGCCTAGGAACAATTTCGCCGGTGGCAGTGGCCCGATTAGGACCGATTACTGGCAGTCGAAAAGAAGCTCAGGGTGTTAACGCTTCGCAATTCTGTACTGCAGAAGCTGCTTGCAAACTGCTTGTAAAGTGAACTACTGACCTAATATAAATAACAAGGAGTCCCATGACTATGATACATGATGGTGCATTCTCTACGGTACCTTATTTCGCCATAAGGTCATGACTCTCTTTCACAAACTGTGATTGAACCCTCCCACGAATCTTACGCAAACTTTCTTTGGGTTTGTCACGCAATCTTTAATTCGCGCACCAGGCGCCCGATCACAGGCGCATACCTGCTCGAGACTAGCACCATGTGACCATTTTCAGCCGTGGTCTGGATTCTTAATGAACGATTCAAATTACAACAAATAAAGAGAGTACTAGCTGCCCTAAACAACCATGGTATAACCATTACACCTGTTCGAGATTCCATTTGTTCTTTGATGCCCCCGAGATCTTGTACGTCCGACACTTTCTTGCTTCTTACATTAAGTTATAGCTGAGAAAATAGCTGAAAGCCATAAGGATACTGATTAAGACAGAGTGTTGAACTGTTTGAAAAGAGGCGAATTTCATTGGTCAACTTGTTTCGTTACTTTACGTCAACCAGTGTGGTGCCTTTTTGTTAAAACTATTTTGGGGCAAACATAAAAGACAAGAAAGCAGCTTTTCAACCATTTTTGAAATGTCTTTTTGTAGATCGTTATTTCCAAAGGTTGTTCTCATGTGAAACATTGCGAGGAATAACACTGTTTCAGTTCTTAGGCTTCATGAGCTAGGATTTTACCAACAATCTAGACGTAATAATTCCTCACAACGTTTCTATTTTGAGAAGAAAAAATGCGGTCAGCCCAAAATGCAGACTGCAGCCTACATCAGATTATTAGTTTGGTCATGTACAATCATTGGAATCGACAAAATGGATTTGCAATGCAATTGAACGGTGGATATAACTGAAATTATGATCAAAAAAGACTCCTCTGCTCCCAGTCGCGTATTCTGCATAGTCACTTGACGACCCTTGTAGAAAAGCCTTTGACCCAGCATGAGTATCCAGATCGCAGGGTGACCCTACAGATGCTAACATCATTTCTATTCCAATAAACCTTGTTTTAAGTCTAAAACTACTGATGTCATAGCACCTTATTTTCACTGGCTGCAAGTTAAACAAAATCGTAGTAATGTCGAGGAAAAGGTTGTTGTTATTCATCGTGGTAGATGCAATAATAAAGTGTATTATCGTTTGTCTCACGATGTAGTCACTTGAGATGTAGATCGCGACGTTTCGACTGCTTACTGCTAGTCTTCTTCAGGCGATAAGGTCGACTGATTGCACGGTATCATTTATATCACAAAGGTCGGCTGTGATTGGTGCATTTCGATCCTCC